ATTAAAATTTTAGACACCTGATTTTCTAGAGCCACTCTAGGTGATGGCCTACTGTGTATGAGGTCCTTGGATGCGCCTGACTTTCTGAAGAAGTTTAAAAGAAAAAAAATTCGGTGTTATCTCATGAATCCCAATTTGGTACACCATAGGTGTTTTCAGTACCTTTTATAAACCAGATTGTATAGAAAGTGAGATTTCCTGATTGTGAAGGTTTTTTTAAAGACTGCTCTGTAAGAGTGGTCTCCTTGACAGAGGATATAAGGCAGAACCCTCCAGTGTCATTGATGAGGCGCTACAATAATTTCCCTTGTAAAATATTCCTATATGATTCATTTATTGCATGAAATAAAAGTGAATGGTAGCACACGCTTGCATGGAATATCATTTGAAATCTCTCCAAGGACCTGTTATTACTTTAAAAACACCCCCATTACAATAATTTATCATGAAATCTTATTCACGTTTGCTTCAAGGGCTGTACTTGGAGCCCCAAAGAGCCACCCAGGGGCATAGGCCATGGACTGGCCATATTGCTCTGGGAGATCTTCTAAATTTTATTATGGACGTGAATTTTCACACATACTCCAGATTAGGGAAAATAGTAGAATGAATTACCATGTACCCATCACCTAGCTTCAATAATTGTCAATTCACGGCTGATCTTGTTTATCTTTACCCCCATCCCCTTCCCATTCATCCGACCCCACACTGAATTCCTGAGAGCTTTCAAAGGAAGTTAAGAATCTTATCCTGTGGCAATAACAACTACTCACATTCCCTACTGGAGACTAGACTTTCTTGTAACCTCACAGTAAAAGTACAGCTAATCAAAGAAGGAATGAACACATTTTCCAAGGCATTCTATTGACATGCTCAGGGTTTTTCAGCAATCTTATGAAAGAGGGTGACATCTTCAGTTCAAATTAAAGTGACTCATCAAGCCAGAGGGGTGGGTCACTGAGGACATATGACACCTTCCAGTTTAACCAGCTTTTTGACTATGAACACCTGTATAGTCATCTTGCAATGAACCTCTTCCTGACCCATCTGTAGTGAAAGACTCTGTTTACCTGAACCCTACCAGTATAGAAAGAAATGGTTTCAATATTTATTGCAGGAATCCTCAATTTTTGGAGAGTTTGAATTTAAATCAAATTCAAAAGCAAGTTCATACCTTTACTTTAGAAGTAAAGCAAACCATTGGAAAAAGCATTGGAAGAGAAAGAGAGACTGATTCTTTCAAACAGGAATTCTGTATCTATCAATTTTTCTTCAATAATCAAGCAGGTCTCCAAAGATGTATGTATTAGGGTGTTGTTCACAATAGATGGAGTATTAGGAAAACATTGAACACAATTATCCAACAATAGAAGACTGTGTAAATAAATCATGGAACACCCACACAATGGAATATTATGAAGCCTTAAAGAATGATGGGTAAATATTTGTGATTTTAATAGTAACAAAAATGTTTTCTTTAAAAAATAAATTGTAAAAACAAAAGAAATGACAGGACAACCTACAGATGAAAAGACACTTAAGAGACATGTTAACCAACTGCAATATATTGTATCATCCTTATAAATTCAAGTGTGCACACACACACATACACAAAAGTTGGGGAAATTAAACAATGACCATATATTGAATGATACTATGGAAATTTTTGTGATGATTTTTTAAATGTGATAATAGTATATTATTACTTATTAAGTTTTGTATTCAGAGATGAAATGTTATATCAATGGTGTTGTAAAGCTATAGATGAAACAAGAGTCACAAAGTTTGAGGGTTCATTATACTCTACTCTCTAGCTATGCACATATTTAAAACTATGCATTATAAAAAATATTTTAAGTTATAAAACAGGATATATTCTGTGATCCTATGCCTTAGTTTATTTTAGATATCTTTTCTCTTACTCTTCTACACTGAAACATGACTTAGCTTTTTAACACAGACATAACATACTTTTTGGAATAAATAATTTAACAACTTGAACTACTTTGTGTTAGACATTGATCACCCAAAATTTTCTGTTTTCCCACTGTTTCTAATATATCACTGAATATAATTGCTCATAAACTGTTAAAAATAACAATGTAAGACATTATTCTCTCAAACCAAAATTGTTGATCTTCTATTAATCTAAAGCCCTTACATCAGTTATGAACTCACTTTTCTCCCATGGCCTGGGAGCAATTCGTGCCTGAAGCAAGCAAAGAGATAAACACAACTCTTTTGAAATCCTGGACTTACAAAGCTAGATCTTAATAAACAAAATAAGGAAGCAATTTCCTAACAGGTGAGTATAGAGAAAAAACAAAAACTTTATATAAATGATTTGGATAGCTTATTATTCTAGGGAAAATTTTGCCTACATTAGTAAGAAAATGTAATTTTTCCAGGTACTAGTTTTGCTTTTGCTCTGTTAGGGTGGCTAGATTCACTTTGGATACGGAAAAGTTAAGTCACCAAGAAACTACACTTTCAAAGTCCTACAAGAGGCATTTAAGCCTCAAGTGGGGCTTTTAGAAAGTGACTGTAAGCATATAAAATGGAATTAGGATAAATTAAATATGAAGTATTTATCAGTATAGAGCCTCTGTTGAATAGCACGTTATGCTACATAACTTGCTCCTACTTTTAAAAACTAAACTAGGGGCGCCTGGGTGGCGCAGTCGGTTAAGCGTCCGACTTCAGCCAGGTCACGATCTCGCGGTCCGTGAGTTCGAGCCCCACGTCCGGCTCTGGGCTGATGGCTCAGAGCCTGGAGCCTGTTTCCGATTCTGTGTCTCCCTCTCTCTCTCTGCCCCTCCCCCGTTCATGCTCTGTCTCTCTCTGTCCCAAAAATAAATAAACGTTGAAAAAAAATTTAAAAAAAAAAAAAAAAAAAAAAAACTAAACTACAGCTCCTGTGTACAGGGAAGAAAGCAGTTTGGAAATTGGATTTTTATGATTCTGCTTGTGTCCCCCAAGGCTCCACATTCTTTAGCTGACTAGGAAATTCTGCTTTGCTTCTAGTGTTGATCTCCCCTCCCTGGCTCTCTCAACTACAGACCCTGAACCCAATTTTAGGTAATTAAATTCTGTCTCACTCAAGCTCCTGAGCCCGAGAACATCTTCTGTCCAGAGTACATCTTCACATCACCAGAGAGCGGGGTCTGCAATGGGCCTTACTGCCCTGTCCTGTTGCCACATGGGTGCAGGGAGCAGGTGGATTGTCCCCTGACCCCTTCTCCACTAGCATTTCAGGTCATGTGTTTTGGTCTCCAGATTGTTCCTGGGTCAACACCCGGAGAGAAGCCCTAAGTCTCAACCTTCTGACTATTCCTCTAGTAACTGCAGCCTGAGGGCTGGCTCCCTGCATAAGGGACCACCTGGAGCCACACTGCCCCCTGGTGGATGCTGTTCTCCTTAGGTGGGGGCCGAACATAATTCGGATTATGGGATATCCCTCAGTGGTGTGCTGACTGGTAAGTTTTCAGGCATTTTACAAGTTGGACTGTTAAACACAGCCATTATTAAAATTTAAATTATATAAACATACAATTAATTTACATTAAAAGCAAAGGTCATAAATACACAAACTCATCACTTCTCAATAATCTTACTACATTTTACTATTGCCTGTGCTTGTGAATTATTTACATCTTTTGTTATCTGGATGGTGGAAATTACTCCACTTATGAAATCATGGTTGAACTGTAACCACAGGTTGGCTATGGATACAAGAGTTCAGCAACAATCAGTGAAAACATTTAGTGAGAATCAATTGGCTATATGGAATTTAAAGGAGATTGTATGTTTTATTATTACTTATAAATTGTGTGCTACACAACCTCTGTATCAGTAAAACTTATAAATGGATATCATTTTGTTTTTTCCCCAGAGAGCTAATTGTTGACCATTTTGAAGCATACTGCAGTAGCCTTTCCTCCCACTCAGGGCCAGTTCTATGGACTGATTAAATGCTGCCAGTTTTGTTACCTCCCATTACTAACTATGATCCAATAGAAGGTGGGAATCTCACATCCAACCCTCTCTTGTTTTATCTTGTCCAGGTTGAAGGACATCCCCTGGCATAACATACCCGGCCTCTTCGGTTCCTTTACACATTGCCCCCACTCCCACCCTGGGAGGTGAACTGACTTAGCCTGTTTGGTGAGTTTAGAAGGAGAAAGAAGTCACACGTGGCCTAGCTCTTGCTTCTGTTCCTTTTCTTAGGGAATATCCACAGAAGGCATCTTTCTGCACAAGGGGAAGACTGCCATGTTCTGGTGTGGCCTCAGTGTGAGTAAATTGGTCAACTGCTGGAGTTTGGTGTGAGAATCCCACCTGCTCACAGATAGAAGCTCAGCTCTATAAAGCGGCATTGATCAGTAATGAGGGCCATAAATTGACCTCCACTGATGACTCCCTTGTCTTATTTCTCCTGGTTCAAAAATTGAATGGGGGTCCTTTCCCATCAGCTTTTGCTCCTGGAGTCCCAGAATGCCTCATGGCTGCGCCCATGCGTATTGGTATGCATAAGCCTTTTCTAAGATTTGAAAACTTGAATGGCAAATTTATTTGATTCCAATTCCTTTTATTACCAACATGTGTATGTGATAATAATAATGCTGACACACAATTGGGCACCTTTTACATGCCAGATATTGTGAGTACAAAGATAGACCTGGAATAACAAGTCTTTTACTGACCTAGAGTGTTTAAGTAACTTTCTCCCAAGGTCACAAAGTGACCAAGCTGGTTGTCTGATTGCAAAACCCTTGTTCCTTCCATGATACTTTGTCTTCCTTTTCTCTCTCTCTCCTTCTCTCCTTCACCCATCCTTCTACTACCTTCCCTCATTTCCACATTTTCTAGCCCTTTGACACAGAAAACTAAGACGGCATTTGAAACCTCAGATTGCAGTATTTGTGTGTATATGTATGTATGTATGTATATGTGTGTGTGTATACGTATATGTATGTATGTAAAATCCTAGAAAATCTTACCCCAACAGCTGGCCTCAAGAACTTTGGCAGCAAGCAGAAGGAAAATTGTGGCTGTCTTTTTAGTATCCTCCTCAGGTTTCTGATGAGGAATGTCCAGCATCTATTCAAGGTCCTGGGGGAAGAAGTCACAAAGAAAATCGTGTGTGAGAGAGACCATAAGACTTCATCAAGCTGGGGTCTGTCCAGGCTTGACCTGGGGTGGGCTCTATGTGGAAAATGTAGCCTTTCCTTAAATGGAGTGTTTGCTGTTACTTCCAAATTAAGGTTTCTTTCCCTGGAGTCAATAGTTGTGTAATAGGTTCAGGGATTGAGCAAACAGTTTAAAAATTACTTGAGGAATGATTGAGAAAAGCAGGGGAATACACACACACACACACACACACACACACACACACACATTCTCGATGGCGGTAATATCACCCTCAAGAGGGTGAAAATTGGTTCTTGGGGGTTCTCTTTAAATATAAATCACAGAAAATACCTATCTACATGTAGTACCTAACAAATACACAGTACATCTATGGTATTAACGTGTCACAGAAGGGATATCAAGAAAAACATGTCTAAAAAGTCTCCTTAGGGGAGCGACAATTTTTTTAATGGCTGAAAAGCACTGATGTATATAGAGCCTAGCAGAGTATGTGACACAAGGTAGATATTCAATACATGTGAATTGTAGTTGTTACTATCATGGTTAATTGTTACTATGATTGTCCTACAAACTCACTGGAGAACTATGCTGTCCCATCATGGTCAAGGTGGAGAGGGGTGTGTACTGTGGCAAGATCCCAGATGAAGTTAGCTTAGGGTGGATCCTGAATAAGCTAGAGGTCCAGGGTTCTAGAAAATAAGCAGATTTTTGCACACCACTAGAGGACCTCTGGATGCCCCAAAACATCTGTTGAAGTGTTCAAATCCAAAGAACAAGGCATGGCGCAGGTGACTGTAGGAAGTGTACAGGCTATCACAATGCCCATTTAATCTTCTGGGGAAAGGAAATGCTCCCAAATTCCAATTCTTCCTGGCCACATACTCCACCACCAAGTTTTGTGCACTTGCCTTGTTGCTTCTTACAGAGGATCTGGCTTCCAGGAGACATTCAATAAATGAGTTAATATAGGTCTGGGGCAAATGTTGAGCAACTTGTCATGCATGCTCCATGTGCTCTGCATGATGGAGGAAAACTAAATAATGCAATGATTATTCTTAAAACCTATGTCTATGTTACTTTTAGCTTACAAAGTGGCTTCATACATAGTGTCTTATTAAACAACACAACTCTGTTGGGTCAGTAATCTATCCCCACTTGAAGGATAAAGAAGCTCAGGCTTGTAGAGGTCCCTTATTTGTCTTCTTTAGCTACCAAGAAACAAGTAACAGCAAGGTCCTTTTCTACTATACTACACCACTTCTAATAATCCTTTCCTACAGAGGAAGAGGACACATGAAATGGTAAAGCTATGGAGGAAAAGTCAAGCACTGGGACTTGGAGACCTCCTTATAAGGAATATGGTAATGTCTGTGAATTGACCCAATCAAGTCATGGAAGACAGGGTGTTATCTTCATGGAGTATAAATCTGGCCTATGGCAGAGCCTCCTGAGGCTGGTCAAAGTCATCAACTGCCAAGTTACAGGGAAATGAAAGCCTATCAAAATAGAGTATGGAAGCATCTCAAGATGATGTGAAATTTGGGATATAAAAGACTTAGGCACAAATGTTTAGAACAAAAATATGACATGAAAAGTAAATGACTAGGTACACACTTGGCACAAATTTTTATTTCAGGGCAATAGCTTCAAATGTAGGAATGATGGATATTTGACTAAGAATGAAGAGAATTTTTCAAAGACTGAAAAGAATGTGTTTAGTCAGATACCAATTCATCTGGCCAAAAGGGCTGTAAATGGAAAACAGATGGGAAGGGAGAAAAAAACACCTAGATAAAACTGAAATGTGTTTCCATGAATGACATTAAGGAGGGCTGGGAAGAATTTCAACAGTGAGGGAGGTGCCGAGTGATTCAATACGAAAACAATCAGGAAGGACATCAGAAACAAAATGTAGGTAGCAGATGTCCAGATATCATGCACAGAACATACATAAGCAAACAGCAACTTTGATATTAAGGCCCAGGGCAACCAACAAGACCTCACGGATACCACTGAGAGTTGGCGAGATGGAACAGATCCATGGGAACACAGTGATAGAAGGGTGTGCTGAGCACAAAGACCTGTTGGAAATAGATGGGGCAGCACTGTAGGCTGTGACAACAATAGATTCAGAGGACTCCCTGAACACTTGGATGAAGATGAAAGAAGAGACGGACAGAAGGGACATTTTCATGGAAGCAGAGCTGAGCCACATGGAGGAAATCCACAAAACTGGCAGAACACACACAGTGGAGATAACATTTGGACCCTTGATTCAGATAAAAGCAGAGTTTTTCACTTTCCTTCCTACAATTTCACATCCTACAGGGTATAGGAAGGAATAGAAATAATTGTGCTCTGATTCCAACCAATGGGAAGAAGCCATTCATCGGAATGGAAGGGATGGGAACCTGGGAAAATGTGGTCACATCATCTTCAAAGTGGGGCAAGACTGAGCTGGATAAAATGTGTACAGAGGATTTTAGGAAGCTAGACTTCAACACTTTTTTTTTAAATATAGGCATAATTCCACAAGTTTTCAAAAGAAGACAAAACCAGGAAGTGCTCAGAAACATGACCCTGGGCAATTCCAATGAGGAGAAAGAAGGTGGGGAGATTCTTAAAAAAAAATCAAAGTGATGGCATAGAACTCTTTAAGCTACGATACAGATTAAATATTTAGAAACATGGAGGCAAATGCTAACGCTACAAGACTGACCTGGAACCACACAAATAGCAGGAATGTTAAAATCCTAGAAGAATCAAAGCACAAAGCATGCAAAAATGGTAAGGACCAGAGAATAGTGTTATGGGACCAAAGGAATTATGATGAGGGATGGCAGAAAGGTTGTATTGTTTCTCAAATGATGTTACATTCGTTTAGGCTCTGATTAGTACTGTGATTTGAGGCTGAAAACACAAGTGTATGAGTATGGTGAAATCCAAGTCTGGGGAAAATGTTACTGATCCCTTTGGGAATCTAATCTGAGACCAGACGAGGTGGTCCACAGTCTGTGGATCAAGTGGCATACATTTGCCCGTCTGCAAACTTTCTTCTTACTATTACTAATGGTATTTCAGCAAGTTGATCTTCAAATTATTGCAGAAGCTACAAGATATCATTCTTTTTGGTCAGAAGAATTTCCTCCAGTTGCATTCTCTCTTTTACTATCAGAGTTTTAAAACTGGGTACATCGAGGGGCCCCTGGGTGGCTCAGTTGGTTAAGTGTCCAACTCTTGATTATGGTTCAGGTCATGATTTCACCACTGTGAGCTTGAGCCCTGAGTTGGGCTTCCTGCTGGGTGCAGAGCCTACTTAAGATTCTCCCTCTCCCCCTGCCACTGTAAGTAAGTTATGTAAGTAAATTAATTAATAAAACCAGAAACGTCTAATTGAAGGCGTAACACTAACTAGCTACAGAAGGATAGTCCTCAGCAGGATCCTGTTTATTTCTGTAGGCGAAGGAATCTTAATTAAGGTACTCCACCTTTACCAATGAAAACTGAAATATTTGGAGTTTCTTAAAACTTGCCTAGAGTGGTTTCTCTTGAAAGGACTTGCAAAAATGAGTGTCATCTTTTACAATAACTATGGAGTTAGCTCCTAATCAATACACCATTTCTTTAAGCTTATTTATTTTGAGCGAGAGAGAGTACACACAAGTGGGGGAAGGGGCAGAAAGAAAGGGAGAGAGGGAATCCCAAGCAGGCTCCAAACTGTCAGCATGGAGCCCAACATGGGGTTCAATCTCACAAACCATGAGACTATGACCTGAGCTGAAATCGAGTCAGGCGCTTAACCAACTGGCACCCCTCAATGCACCATTTTATGAAGTTCAAGAAGAGGCAAAACTGATCTGTGAGGATATAAATTGTAATAGTGGTTGCCAAGATAGATGGAGCAAGGATAAGATGGAAAGGGACCCTAGTGAACTTGCTAGGATGATGGCATATTCTATTTTTCAACTGGAATGTTGATTACATGGATATATGCATTTGTCAAAACTCATCAAACTGTCACTGTATGTAATTACCCCTGTATAGAATACATAAAAAGAATATAATAAATCTGGGTAGTGAGATGAAGAGAAAAAAGAATGATTTTTCTATGATGACTTGACAGTAATTAAATGAAGTTAACACGGTCAAGGAATCAGAGAAAACTAGAGGCTCAGAACTTAAAATTTAGCAGTGCTCTTGAAGTGGACTTAGGGAAAAGCAAGTTTCACCAATGCCCGTGAGTTGTTAATTTCCCATTGGCAAAGTTTTCCAGATTGTGAAGAAATGGCATCACTACCTTTTGTCCAAGTACCAGTGGTTTACAAACTTCCATGCACATAAATATCACTGTGGGTGCTTGTTAAAAAAGAAGTTTCTGGAGTGCCTGGGTGGCTCAGTAGGTTACGTGTTCGACTTCAGCTCAGGTCATGATCTCATGGTTCATGAGTCTGAGCCCCACGTTGGGCTCTGTGCTGACAGCTAAGGAGCCTGCTTTGGACTCTGTCTCTCTCTCTCTCTCTCTCTCTCTCTCTCTCTCTCTCTCTTTCTCTCTCTCTCTCTCTCTTTCTCTCTCTCTCTCTCTCTCTCTCACACACACACACACACACACACACACACAAATTAACATTACAAAAATTTTTTTACAAATGTAGTTTCTGGGTCCATACCTGGAAATTATGGCAAGGTAAATCTACGTTAGTGCCTAGGAACCTGCATTTAATAAATACCCTTGGTAAGGTTTTTCTTAATGTTTACTTATTTTTGAGGGAGGGAGGGGCAGAGAGGGATACACAGAATCCAAAACACTCTCCAGGTTCTGAGCTGTCAGCACAGAGCCCGACGTGGGCTCAAACCTGAGTCGATCATGACCTGAGTCAAAGTCAGACACTCAACTGACTGAGCCACCTAGGCACCCCCCCTTGATGAATCTGAGCAGGAACTACTCATGGACCTACACTTTG